CCCCCCCCCCCCCCCCCTTTCCTACAGTGCTCTGGTTGTCCCGTTTTTCCCTCCATGGAAAATCCCGACAGGTTAGCTGGTGCGGGCGCTCTGCTGACAAACGCCGATTGATATGCCTCTTCTCTCCAAGGACACCCCCCCCCCCCCTTCTTAACACCCGTAATGCTCGGCCCAAGTTCAGCACAAACCTCGAGTCATGGGAGAAATATCTTCCTGCTGATTAACAATGTTTTATTCAATTAAATTATGCTCGGAAGTGTGTGTGTGTGTGGGGGGGGGGTTAAGTCAGTCGTGCTCTTAAATCATTTTCATTTCAAGCCAGAACAAAGACAACCTTTCCTTACCCTCCCCCCCTCCCCTCGCTGTGTTATCAACAGTTACCCCGATGAAGGCCAGCTGTCCTTTGCAGCCGGTACAGTAGGCGAGCGGATGAAGCCACAGACATCCACTGAATCCCAATCAGCCTGTTTACGCCGCAGTCGTTCTTCGGACGATTAACGGACGGGATTTTAATCGACGGCGGCGTAAAATGTGAGCTAAATGGACGCTTATGTTTCACTGCGTGTTACGTTCATTCAGTTCTTTTAATCAGTTATGGGGATCTGAGTCCCATTCTGGAAAGATGCATCAGACGAGTAGATGTAGCGTTTAGCACTACTGATAAAGTGGCGTGTTGTTTTGGCGTTCTACCTACTGGCCGCGCAGCACACTTTTAAGCCGGAGTTTCTTGTTTCCACAGACACCAACTGCTTTGTTCTGGGCAGCGTCGTGCCATTAACTTGCCGTTGATCCCTCAACTTGTTCCGCAAATCCTGCAGATTACCAGAGAATGTGCGCGGTGCTGAAAAACAAACGGGCGCTTGTTCATCCAGTCGCCCCAGTTTGCACTCAGCCTCCGGAGGAGCGGCGCGGCGCGGCGAGCTCAGACGTCGCCGGGATGGAGAGCGACGGCCTCGAGGAGCTGAAGGTCGACAGCGGCGAGCAGCTATTGTGCTGCTGTTGAGGCGGGCAGGCCGCGTACTGGCTGAGCACCAGCTTTTAGAGGCCACTTTACGGCGCGCCTCTATTTCCCTCAATTTATCACTGTCACACACACACACACACACACGCACGACACACACACACAAATACTCACCCGGCTGGGTGCTCCCTCTGGGACGGGACGGAGAAAGGTGAGAACCGAGTGGAGAAAAAAGACAAAAGGGGGAGAGAGGAGGAGGAGGACGGGAGAAAGTTTGGCATCAGTGCTGATAATAACAACAACAACAACAGTCCAGCTCCAGTGAGCCGAGGTCAGGCCGCCTGACTCCCGTCTCCCCTCCGTCTTTGCCTCTCTCTGTTCTCCGACGTGACAAAGCTCGCCGTTTTCCCATGACGCCTCATTTCAACGCCCGCCATCTCTTCTCTCATTCTTCCTCATCCTCTCTTATGCAGCAACACAAAACAAGTGGGGACGCGCAGAAGCTGTCGCACCGCACGCCGCTGTGAACACATTGATCTCTGTGTCGCTCCCTCTCTCCCCTTCTGCTATTAGTTCTTCCTCTCTTTTTCTTCTCGTTCTAAGTTTATTCATGAGAAAGTCTCGGTGCCTGAAACAGAGCGCGAAGATAAAATATTCTATAGGGGTGAATGAAAGTTCATGGGGGGGTCGGGGGGGGGGAGCATTTCTCTTGCATTCACACCGTCCGTAATATGACAGCAATATAACCGAGGAAGCACAAATTCAGTCCACAAGGTGACACGTTACTGCCACTAACAACGTGGAGGATTGCTTTTCCTTTTGGTCTAAAATGATGAGAAAATGATGTGTTTTTTTTATTCTGTAGCCGTTGCCCGAGTTTCTCTCTCGCTGCTGCTTTGCTCCAATTCCGGTATGTAAGGAATTGCATGGAGATAAACACAATACTGACCTGCACGCGCAGACATACAAACACTTACTGAAGGAAAAGGGTATTCTATAAAGTGTGGTTTCTGAGGTTCGTATTCTGCTTAATCTCCCTTGTATTGAACTCGCTAAACATCTTCTCAACCTGTTCAATGGCGTGATTGATTTTCGATGATGAGGCCTTTGGTGCACACCGGCCGGTAACATCAGTTCACAGACTTGCTGCACTGCACCTGTAAAGGTACTTCGGCACCAACACATCTCACCAGGAAACCAGACAAGTCTGCAAGGTCGTGTTTGAGACAATAAGTATGAAGACGTGCGGCGTTGAGGAATCTATAAAAACAATCAAGCTGCAGCTGAAGTGCTACTTTGTGTTGAAGCCACAGCAGCAGTATAATACACAACAACAACAACAACAACAAAAATCAATTTGGTCTGGCGATATCTGGCAGCTTTAATTGAAACAATGCAAACTGCCCTGTTGAAATCCTGCTGTAAACATAATAGTCAGTCATCTTTCTGTAACGGCTCGAGAATCTTCTAGTAGATGAAAGCAAAGCACCGAATCGTTTGTTTTCATCCAAGCAGTTTTTAAATCAATGTCTCATCGTCGTGTGTAATAAACGGGCCCCACACACACACACACACACACACACACACACACACACACACAACACGGTGGACTAAAAGGCTGTTTACCTCGGAGGTGCTCGGGATCAAGATGGTTGCGCTCGTCTTTAGCGGCGAGGTGGGCCGAGACCCCCAGGGCTCCGGTCAGCGCGAGGAGCCCCGAGCCCCCCGGCCCCAGGGACAGGCCCGACGGGTGAGGCGTCAGGGGGATGCCGGGGGCGTGGTGAGACAGGTGCTGGAGCTGCTGCTGCTGTGGCCACGGGGGAAAGGAAGGAGCGGGGAGGGAGGAGGGAGGGGGCGGCGGGGGGGGGCAGTTAGAAATATATCGAGACACGGAGGGGAGAAAGGGAGAACAAAGGAAGAAGGAAAAGTCGAGAGCGAGTTGAGGGGGGGGGTATTTGGAAGACGAGCGGTGAGAGACGTACGAGAAGGGAGCCAGTGAATGAAATTAAATCCGCACAGAGAGCTCAAAAAGTAAGACGAGAGGAAAACAAGATGAAGGACGATAGGATGTTAAAGAGAATGGGAGATTAAAAGGCGAGAAAGATGGACGCCGAGGACCAGAGGGAGAGAATGAAAGAGGTGCAGGAGGACATTAAGTGGTCGGGATGCGCATGAGAAAGTACAGAAAGAAGGAGAGACGGGGATGAACGGGATTCATCGTCAAGGACGGGCAGAAGGAGGAAGATTGAGAAAGACGCCAGGGGGAAAAACGCGGGTGAAAAAAGAGAGGGGGAAGGAAACGTTTGAGTCGGAGGGTAAATGACGGGCAGGAAGTGGAACAGAGGGAAATCACGGTGAAGCAGAATCAGATGAGCAGAGAGGAGAAGACGAGCAAATGAGCAGAGGAAGATGAGGGGAAAGTGCCAACGATAAGACATCGCCAAAAACAATGAGAGACGAGGAATTAGGACCATGAAGGGAGGAAGAGGATGATAAGAGATGAACAGACGGACAAAAAAGACAATGGTAGAGCGAGGAAAGGCAGCAAAGGAGCAGCTACAGATACAGGAAGGCTATTATGATGTGTTGTTTGGTCAAGCTGGTGTGTTAAGACACACACGCACACACGCACACACACACACACCTCTGAGACAGCAGTGTTTGTGGTGCTGGGAGGAACAAAAGGCTTTAAGTGAACAGTAATGTGATCAGCGCTCTGATAAGCTCTGGTCCACGAGGGCACTCAGCAGCATCCCTGTCTGTGTGCGTCTGTGTGTGTGTGTTTGTGTGCACATGTTCAGACACATCTGTGCACACAAGCACGTGCAGGCCTCGGTCAGGTGAGTGCGGACATCACGCGTGTACATTTGTGTGCGTCAGCTTGTGTGTAAGCTTCATTTTCACAGAGAGTAGCACCCAAAAAACAACACAGAGTACTGAGTTGTGATCCAAGCAGTGTGCGACTACCGTTGTCGTGCCGCACGGAGACGGTAATGTGATAAGTGCTCTGACAATTAGAGCCGAACAATCTGACAACAATCACAGATTTTATTTTCTCTCCAGCGAACGCGTCCATGTTTACCAGTGTTGCTACAAATCTTTTATATATTTCTCAATAGTGGTACATCTTTTGTGCTGTGAGCAGTGATCCACTGAATCTTTATATGCCGTTGCAAACAGGACAGGATGCAGCACCTGATTGGCCTCTTTATACAACCGAAACATGTACGGAAATGATGCCAATTAAAATCTAACGTTCTAACAAAAAGAACAACTTAAAAATAGAAAAATGTCCCTCATCAATGGATGAGATGCTATCAAAGCTATTCAGCGTCCTGAGGCTAACTGCCTTACTGAATCTGCATCGAGCCCAACTAAACGTAAAGTGCAGTGAGGAAACCCTTTAATCAAATCGCTCCTTGCTTAATGTGTGCTGGTGCGTTTGTCGGGATGGACGGAGGTGACTCACCCCGATAATGGCGTTGAGTTCAGCCATGGTGACCTGCTTGGCCCTCTCCACTGCCTGGACCACCTGCTGCTGGTGCTGCACACACACACACACACACACACACACACACACACACACAAAGACATACGTTCAATGCCACAGAGGGGGAGTAATGGCTGCCTTGTGTTATTATCCACGTCACAGCACGTTGTGTAGAGTAAACATGATGTGTGTATTGTGCACATACTGTCAGATATCACACAGGCGGAACAATTCCAAAAACCAAACTTGAGAAAAGGTGTTAGAACCACCGAACTGCGTTTGTACAGAGTGTGTGAGTAGAAACGTCTGGATTGTGCAACCGCGCATTCACAAAACGCAAACACTGAACAAAAGACTCACACGCGCATTAACAAACAGTACAAACACACATAGCTACGCTAACGGAAATCGCCCCTCTGTTTACACAAAATACAAACGTAATCAGGCGCACAAACGCAAATATGCACGTGTGCGCACACATACACACACACACACACACACACAGTGTCAATATTGAACGCTGTGACCTTCATGTCTCCCGGCAGCAGCGTACTCTCACACTCTCAGACAAAAAGAAGTGTGTCTGCAGGCTTGCACTCGCTCTCTCACACGCGCACACACAACCAGCGCACAAAGCGTCAGAGCAACCAAACAAAAACGCAATGAACTTCCAACTCGGGACGGAGAAGCACCCGACGTCATTAGCGGTCCGTCTCTTTGTGCTGAATTTCGAATGCAGCAACCGCCGTTCGCACACAAGCAGCAGCGAGAGCAATTAGTGCGCTACTTGATTTTCGGTGGGTTGGTTTCATTCATTCGTCCGTAGCTGTGCTATTAACCATCAGGTAGGCCGCAGTTCATGGTTTGTGGTTCTGTAGTTGCCTAGCAATAATCCCTCCCCAAAAAAGGACCCCAAAGGATAACGGAGAAGAGACGAATAGCTAATATGACGTCTTTTACGTGCGCTTCAGCCTTCCCTTTCGTCCAGAACAATCGGGCTACTCTGCTTCACGCCGTCATTTGTACTCACGTCGATATCCCGTTACGTAGCAACCAGACACAACCACAACAATCTCGGCTGCAGAAAAAAAAAAAAGTGCTCGAGTGCTCCCAGCTGGCCGCTTTCAGGAGAGAGAGCCCGACTTTTTCAGCTGGGGAAAAAAAGAAACTGCTTGGATGGAGACGAAGCCTTGTTGAGGCAGCCTGCAATAACTGGGATTAAAACGTGAACCTCGAAGCCTCACAATCAAGCATGAAGTGGTTTCAAGGCACTTTGTAACGTACGACGGAGTACTGCAATGCATTCGGCCATCCTACTGTTTTTCCCACTTTCTTGGACTTGAATACGTAAATTAAAAATATATATATCTTTTTTTTAAAGTAATAATTATTCATATTTTCCCTGCCAATGCAATTTAAACTGTGATTGATTAATTATTCTGATCGCAAAGCGAATGGGATGTAGGCCCGGCGTGTGAGTAATCATGCCTTGATTGCGTGTGTGCATGTTTTGTGCTCATATGTAAGTGTGCCTGGCAGTGGGGACACTTACCTCCTGAGAGAGGAAAGGGATGATCTGAGCGCAGATGGCACTGAGACGCTTGACGATCTCCGCCTGCAACGGGAAGAGAGAGAGAGAGAGAGAGAGAGAGAGAGAGGAGATATTATTCTATCAGGTTTTCTAAAGTAGTAAGTACACGACGTGGCAACGCGGCGTATGAAACACGTCCGTCTAACGAGGGAGGAGTCCCGAGAGAAGAAACGTGGGTGAGCGAGGACGACGAGGAGGACGAAGCTCAATTAGCACCGTCATGTAGCTCGGCCTCGCACTCTTCAGTCCTCCTCCACCTTATTTTACACACACACACACGCGCACACGCACACACACATTCATACAAACGAACATGTGCGCCAACACACGTTACACGTCACAATTGTCTCTCTAAAGCAGAATGCGGCTGTCTGCACACGTGGACACCTAAAAACATATGCATGCACTATGTGTGTGTGTCTTAGTGTGTCACACACACACACACACACACACACACACACACACAGGGAACCTCTGCTGTGTGTCTAATTCTATCTGTCTGAGTGCCCTCAGCCTCATTTTGTTCTTTTCTTCACTCAGCCGTTGTCTCTTTTTCTACAGCGGCTCTCACACTGAGTCATTATTACCCTATTCATCCTCTTCCTCCCCCATCCTCCCCCCTCCCCGGCCTACTTTGTCTCGTTTTCTCTCATCTTTCTGTTTTTCCATGTTATTCCCTTTCTCTCCATTATGATTTACCCTCCCTCCTTCATCACAGCTGCCCCTTTTCCCTCTTCTAACACCAGTGGCTTTCGTCTCTTTGTTCAGTGTTCCTTTGCTGTCCACGTGTACGTTTGCTCTGAATCATTTTTCCTCCCTTTCTCGCTCTTTGTCCCCGTCCCTCCGCTTGCATGTTTCTGGCACTCGGAGATACTGCAGGAGAAGAGAGTAAGACAGCAAAGGGGTGATGGAGGGAAATGCAAAGACTGACAGGGTTGTGTATACACCGCCATGCAAAGGCTAACACACACACACACACACACACACACACACACACACACACACACACACACACACACACACAATCAGCCAGCCTGTCAGTTACAACCGGTCTCATCATGAGTTCATAAACTGGCTATCACCAGACACACAGCTCTGTTCCAAGGACAGTCTTATCACATCATACATGTGCCAACGTATGGATGTGTGAGTGTGTGTGGTTGTGTGTGTGAGTGTGTGTGGTTGTGTGGTTGTGCCTAAATTCCTATTAGTATTTGTAGAGATATACTCGTATAGTGCGAGTGTGCTGACCGTAAAGAGGAGAGATGGAGGAGCCTTTTACTGCTGTGTTTTCTGCTGATTGATTCATCACTTGAAATACTAACGTATGTGTCCGCTTGACTCGACTTTCTTTTTTTCTATGTACTCTGTATTATTTACGCTGAATCAACCGTCCTCCCTTCAGTTATATATCGGCAACCAAACCATAAAGCTGCCCGGCGAATGACCGTTTGTCCCGGGGGGCAACAGATAAATTCAGACGGCTTGGCTCAGGTTTGGTCAGATAAAAGCCAGATGACCGTAAGTCAGAATGGGACACAGCTACTTGAACATTATGGGTACACGGAGCTGATTCCATTCACCGTTTCTTCTCTACAAAAGGTGGCTGTAGCATCAAATTGAAAGCTAGAAACTCCACAACTGAAAAGATATCAATTACACAAAAAGCTAATGTACACAAAGAAAGCTAATGTTGTGACGCCATAATGTAAATGCTAAAATTACCACCTTGTGCCAGTGTTGCAGTTCACATCCCTTTCCATAATCCATCATCAATTTCAGCCAATTAATTCCTTAGCTCAGCTCAGCCTCCACGTCCATGTTCCACGTGTTTTAGGCTCGCTAGAAAACTGGTTTACAACAGTGAGCTGAAGTGAGCTGGGCTGAAGCAGTCCGAGCTGGGCCAGGTGTCAGAAACCGCACTGCCAAAGCCCGGCCGTCAGGGACTTCTGGCAAAGGCCGGCCGGCCGGACGGATGGAGGGATGAACGGATGAAGGGATGGACGGGTGGGTGGATACAAAGGGAAGAGAGGGAGCTGGTCAATAAACACCTGAGGGGCAGATATGCTGCCAACTGGCAGCGGGACAGAGAGGAGCACAGAAAGCGAGGCTTAAAGAGAGCCAGAGATAAAATACAGATGGAAAAATATGTACACAGCGGATGGTCGTTTAAAAAGAGAGAAAACATCCGGATGGATTTTTTAAAACGGATAAATAAAAAGGAGGAATGGAAATGGGGAGTATGAGAAAACGAATGAACGGCTAGACAGTGACAGGCTGTTCCAGAGGTTGTGGCACATTTTAGACTTGTCTGAGGGGGGGGCGACACACACACACACACACACACACACACACACACACACACACACACACACACACACAGACAGACAGACACACACACAACTCAGACAGTCTCATCATTAACAGGATGACAACATCGACCAGCAACGGGTTTGTTTGTTTTTTTGTTATGATCACTGTCCTGTTGCTGCGTGTCAAAGTATACCACATAAATCAAACCAAACAAATCCCCAGACTATAATCCCACTGTTTCCTACTGGGCTCAGTTTAATCACATCCTCTGCTGTTCTGCGTAGCGGACTGCGACTATGGACGCAGCTCTGATCTCTGCACACAGCAACGAGGGGAAAAAATTGGGCTGTCAACATTAATGCATTAATCTATGCGATTAACGTGGCCTAGATTCATGCAACAAAATATTTTAACGTAGTTAACGTTCGTTTACTGTTTACTTCCGGAAACGAAACGCCCGCTAGCTGCACTCAGTTACGTCCAGATGAAGAGAGCTTTTTGCATTGGAAGTAAAACAAACAGTGGTGCGACATACAGCAGAGAACTGTGCAGAGGAATTACTCCATGTGTCAAACAGAAGGGGGGTGAGTAGCAAACGGACCACTTAAAGCACTGCTATGCTAAGCTAGCTGCTATGCTACTTCTATCTCTTACAACATCTAACGTTACCCTGCACGGCACACAGTCTGCAGAGGACCACCGCTGTGTGCCTAAAAGATCGTGGTTTGAAAAAGTTCTGGCTAGATGTGAGGAGATTAATCGAGATTAATGAATTTCAAAATGTGCGATTAATTAGCTAATTTTTATTAGCTAATTTTTATTGACGGCCCTAGAAAAAAATGAATATTCAATCATTTAATTTATTTTGGATTGGCACTGACTGCAAAAAGTCCTTCTCCTTCATTTACCCCACGACCCCCCCACTGCCACAGCACCGCTCACACATTTAACCCTCGGCACAGACCCAACACATCTCCGGGGAACGGTTAGGAGCGACTAACTGAAGCAGAACTAAGACCAGGCGGGCGGGTAGGCGACACACTCGCTCGTGAAACAAGTCCCCACACACTCGCGGTGCAACGGTTGCACGTGGAGTGTCTTTAATTAATGAACCGTGGGCGTCCGACTGTTCTGATGAAACCAAAGCTTGTTTTGGACGGAGGGGGTCCTGTTGGAGGGAGATCCACCGGCGGGCGATTTCGTTTTAAGTGCTTGGAATGAAGAGGCATCCTGTGTTGTGTAGCTCTAGCATATTGGCAAGCTTGCATATAAATGATTCATGATATAAAGGGCAAAAATGCCTCCTTATCAAGAGCAAGAATACAGACGAGCTCAAAAGGACAGAAAACCTTTTTTTTTTCTAACATTGGAGGAAACACTGGCCTGTGAAAGATCGGCGTTGTGTTTGGCAGACCAAACAGTGACCGCGTTCACCTTGCCAATAAAGATCGGTGAATTTGAATGTGACGCGCGTGGGCCGAGCGGGACGGTGCCCAGTGTGTTCAGTCACCGCCAGCTGTGCCGGCCTCCAAGTCCCACTACGGCAGAGCGAGCCAGCTCCACGGAGGGGGGGGCTCTGTGTGTGTGTCTGTGTGTGTGTGTGTGTGTGTGTGTGTGTGATTTAACACTCCTCTACTTACTCTAATTGCTCTCAACAATAATCTCAACCATCCCTTTTAGCTTCAACTCTATTTTCAATTCCTAGCGCCTCTCTCTGGCGCTTTGATTATTCCACTGTTGGCTCGGATGAATATGAATGGTTAAAAAAAAAAGGTATTCAACGTCTGTGGAATTGAGTTCATAAAAAGCGGTTATGGCGTCCAAAAGCATTTCCTTGTTCTTTCGATCCCCGCCTCCCCAAATGAGAGCCGTTAAATCAGTTTATCAACAGAAAATGAAAACGGCGAACATTACCGTCAACATGGTTGACAGGTTTAGTGGCGTGTTACTCCGACGCTGACATTCATCAGAAAGTAGTGCGAGCGCCGTGGAGTGATCGGGGGGCCGCGCACACGAGGCCCCGTCGTCTATGCGCCGCATGTGGCTGTGGAAAGACCCTCATTTAGTCAGTGTGCATATCGCACACACACACACACACACACACACACACACACAAACACACACACACACACGCACGCACGCACGCACGCACACAAGCCTGCAGCTTATCTCTGTCCCCTGCTTTCTAATTGGACTGCTCTCCCCTCTGAACAGTTTAAGGTAAATATTTGTAGCCAACGACGCACTAATCACCCACTGATTGGGGTTCGGGGGGAGGAGAGGGGAGGGGTGGGGGAGGGGGGGTGGGCGCAGAGCTGTTCAATGAAAAACAGGCGTCCCTTCTTCCTCTCTTTCAAAACCCCCACAGCTCCTCCTCCTCTCTGTGCACTCACCCGTGTTTCATTCTGCACTCTGGTGCCCCCCCCCCGTCTCCCTCCTCCACCCTCCACACACACTCTCTCTCACTTCTTGCTCCTTCTTGCTCTTTCTGCTCCACTCGCATCCTCTCCTCCAGCCTCCCTCTTTTATTTTCTTGCTCAGTCCTGTCCCCCCTCCCTCCCTCCCTCCATCCTTCCCTCCCTCCCTCCCCACTGGGCAGCGAGCCAGCTCCTGCTCCTTGGCAGAGAACCAACTGCACTCCCCCCCCCCCCCTCCCTCTTCCTCTATCCCCCTCGCCTCTGATTGATGGCCCCTCTATCCTGGAAGGAGAG